TTGGCAAAGACCCCATATCATTCATTTTTTTATAATCTTAAATATTATTTTATTAATCATGGCTTTAATGCTAATATCTTGCGTATTAGTATTATAAAAACTAATCTTGTTGGATAGCAAATGTGAATTACAAAGAAATACATTTTTTAATAAACATTGATGATAGAAAAATAGGATAAAATTACTTTTAAAATATGCAATAAATGAATATTAGAGTTATTAATACTATTGTAATTGATTGCTTGTTGTGCCTAGGATGATTATCAGATGACTAGCATTAAATGATCATCAATAGTTAGCCTAAATTATATTGTAATTTTTACCCTGACCATAATTTTATATCAATATTTTTGTTTTATTACCAAATAAGTTCATATTATTTTCTCTTTCAATTGCATTTAACTCTCGATAGTATTCTGTACATTGGATTTCGCTCGTTTTTACGTGAGTAATACAAATTCTCAACAAGAAAACAACAAATAACTATAAGTTCATATAACCACAAAATGCATGAGATATTTGATATATATATGTACGTAACGTATGTGTGATATAAAAACGTGATATCTGTTACAAAATGTAAAAGAAAATCCCGAAAATCATTGCTAAATAAGTACTGTGTATAAAACGTAGTTTGTGATATCGATATTCTTTATCTTTGCTAGAATTCGTAATAGTGCACAACGATGATTAAATTAATATAAAAATTTTTAATGACAATTTAAATATGTAAATTATGAATTAGCTAGTAAACTTGACGATGCTCATGTATTACAAAATCAACCCAAAAATTGAAATTGATATTTGAGCAATTCATTGATATTTCTATTTATCAAATGTCGTCGCTACTAGTCCTTCATTGATTGTTGTATGAAATGAAGTTATTGGCAAAATTATAAAATTTGTTGCTGGTAAAAAATGGTAAATATCCTTATTTGTTATTTTGGAGTTTTCTTATATATATACAGATTTTTTTGGTAATGGATAAATAATTCGTTGATGATAAGAAAACCCTATTTCTTATTTGAACTGTTTAATATCCCAATGCTAATATATTTAGAAAATGACTATAGTATACAATATACGATTCAGAAATATAAATACAATCAAATGCTACAAATAATTGTCTATAATATTATTTTCGATAATACAAAAATAGAAAGTAACGGCAATTAGGATTAGTGATGATTTTTTTGATTGGATATTGGTGAACATTCATAATTTACATTCAAATAAAGTCATTAAAAATTAGCATTTTCACTCATAAGTTAATTGGATTATTAAAATTGTTTACTGCTCATAGTGCAAGCCACACAAAAAGTGTGACAGGCATTTAAAAATCAATACATAATATAGAAATAGAAATTAAAGCCTCGTAACTCAGATCTCATTCCATAAATTGAATTAAGCAACAAATTAAATTATTATACTTTTCTGACTTTAAACGCTCGCACACATGGTGCCAGATAATCTGTCCACTTAATTAGGATTGGTGGTTGCACTTCTTGGTCTATCCAGATTGCTTCCAACATATCCCTGCTTCAACCTACCGAAAGCCATTTTCCGAAAGGGTACTGATAAAGTTAGCTGACATTAGTTATAATTCGGCCGATTTTAATCAGTATTAATTCTTTCATAAAATGGTTTAGGAAAATCGTATGTATAGTAGTCTCATTACTTATCCACCTTTCAATATAACATTCGTCAACCCCAAAAATATAATCCAGTGATCGCTATGCATTTGGAAGCGATTAACAAATTTTTTAGCTCTCATCTTTGATGATCAATGATTATCATTTCATCAACCCAATTAAAAATCCTAACAAAAAAAAAATGAAAATGCTAAAGTTCCAGTGAATAGGCATGCAAATTTACTTCGGGTCACCAATATTTATGCCTAAAAATCATGTTTTGACTATGATTTGTTACGGCATTCATTAATGCATTTACGCACGTAGTCACTTTTGGTTTGTGCTTTTAAATAATCTGAACTGAAGTTTTTTAAAATTGATCACAGCCTAGATCTTATAAAAAATGTTGATCCGTGTTTGTTTTTTCCATGAATGTTTCATTTTCATGGAATTTATAACCTTACATCATGGAAATTTTCATCTCCCTAACACGGACATCCGTAAATGTATCATTTTTATGGAATTTTTACGGAGGCCACGGAGAAATAATAGAAATATTTGGATAAAAATTTTTTATAGGGTTATAGGGAGAGGATCAAATTGTACCAGATTTACTGCACATGTTCTGTGAAGGTGTAACATGTGAAGTTCCTACATGCATTCACACACTTGCTACGCCATAAGCTCTTTTCGGACGTATATCATTTAATTTGCAATATAACTATACACAATATAACCATACACTTCGTGAAATTTTCAATATCACTCCGTTCCTGGTACATCAATTTATATTATAAGAGATGCATAAGTGGTTAACCTAACCTGAAAAAGAATACCGAAAAGTCAAAGTTAATACAACATTGGCAATCAAAAAAGTTTTTGAACAAGTTAGTTAACGCGGTTCGGTCATCTTAGAATTAATGATTGAAAAATGAGAAAACGAATTTTGTTTTTGTTAGTCACAAGCTTGGAAATGTATATAAATAGATGTTCTTCCCAACAACAGCTTGACAATAAATCATCAACAACATATTTATTAATTTCTTCAATCCTTCCCCGAGAACAAAAAATTTGCTGTACTTTAGTTTGCCTTTCCCTCGCGTAATATCCTCCCTTTCTTCCTAAAAGATTAATAAGAAAAAATGATGCTTTCTCAACTGTTCACAATATCGGCTCTTCTTTTGGTTGGGGTCACGACCGTTGCTATAGGATCACCGGTGAAGAAGACTATCGATAGTATAGAACTTGAATCTATCGAAAGTATCAAATTTCAAATGAAGTCCGGTAATCAGACTTTGAATCGACGTTAAGTAGTTGGAGTTCCGGGTGTTCCCCAATGTCCGGATAACCGATTCCCCAATTTGATGTATTCCTTCTGCTTTACCGAAGATAAGATTCGGTCTGTGTGCGAGTCCAGCGGGACTAACGCGACGAACGACGTTGATTGCCCCGAGGAAACTACCTGCGTGGATCTTATAGCCAAAGATCTATCCCCCTATGCATATTGCGCCCCTAAAGATAACACCAAGCGTTGGAGCAACGGTCACGATGATGGCATCGTCTGCACCGATGAATTTGTAATTAATAATGCCAATGGGTTAATAACGATGGGGGTCACCATATATGATGTCAACCGCAATACAATTCAGGTTGACAAAATATACTTTTACAAAGTAGAATCATCGTCTCAGATCAAGTATACTGCCCAAAGCCTATCCCTGATTGTAGATTACAAGGGTGAAAAATTAAAGGCGTGTCTGGAAACTGGTACAGATAACACAGTGTGGGGTGTGACTGGCGGACTTGCCGGGAGTCTTTAGTAAGGTGATTTGCTCGCTCGCTCGCGTTTTCGTTTTAAAGCCGGTTAACTGTGTGGGTAACTGCAAATAAATATATAAAATTAAAAAAAATAACTACAGAAAGAAGATTATATTTATAATTTAAATTAATGTTTTAATTATAAATACAGAATAAATAATTTATCTACTTGAATTTTTGTTATGAACTCTACGTTATGTGCAAGTATCGAATTTTTTATTCACGATTAATGATATTACTCTCCGCCTAATCTCAAACGAATAAAAAATTGATATCAAAAATTCGCCTTCACCCTTTTTAGAAACAACAAATCACTAGATTATGAAGTATCATCTACGCTAAACGACTACCTGACATATATTCACACATTGCCTAATCAGGTGATTAAATTTTTGTTAATAACGAAATGAGCCAATATCTCGATAAAAAAAATAACCAAGTATGCATAGTGTGAACTTACATTATAACTCCGAACAAGATTCGAAAATTTTCTTTACAATGATAACCAGTAAAATTAGTATGATTCTATTTGCAATACTATTCCAAAATACGTTTCGATTTCTTCCGAGATTATGTATTCTATATTTCTATTTCTTCGTTCTTCGATTAGAGTACGTGTTTGTGCATCTGTTCATTCTAGCATTTTCAACCAGAGTTCAACCAGAGTTCTACCAGAGTTCAACCAGAGTTTTATCCTAGTTAAAAGATTTTAAAAGGAATCAAATAGGCTAGGTGCTAGAAAAAGGGACGAAATTGACAATTTTTTCAAAAGAAATCTTTTTTCATAAATCAATTTAGAATAATATTAGGACCATTTTTCACTTAAAACACAAAAGCAGTTGTATTAATAAAATTTTGCAATATAGCTTCTTAAAGTTTGCAATTTTCTTATGATTTATTATAAAATTTATAATATAAAAATTGATTTTCTGAAGTTTTTTTTTTTTTTGCCAATTTCGTCCCTTTTCTCAGCACCTAGCACAAATATAATTTAATGATTAATAATCGATTTTATTAATTGGTCCCCGATACTATGTATATTTGATCCAAAAAGTTAAAATAATGTTACTGCAAGAAGTTTTATTATTGTCATACTTGAAGTTAATATTCACCTGATGTTGCAACTGTAGTTGTAATTAACTGATTTTTTTGTACACATTAGCTGGTAATTTTAGGCAGATGTAACTTACGTCTGAATTTGTAACCTCAGGCAAGCGTTAACTTCAGATGAGATATTATAATTTTTAATTGCTTAAAACTGAGCTCATTGGAATAATATGACAATCAATATTTTATACTATTCTATGTCCCACTTTTCATGAGACTATAAAACTTTATAAACGTGCTAAGTCAATGTATACTTAATACTGTAATAAATTGGACAATAAAAAATTATTTGATTTTTTAAAAATCATAATGACTTTTCTTAGAAAATATTGACCAAACCTTTTTGTAAAACACTCTTCTTGACATCCTCACCCATTATTTTAAAAACTAGTAATAAAACCGTGATGTTTTATATGGCTATATCAGGTGCTTAAACTTGAAAATGAAAATACTAAAATTTATAATATTAATATTATTTATATGCATTTCATAAAATAGTTTATAGTAAAAAATTTATTCGGCTGATATTAATTATTGTTAATTGTAAGCAGTATATTTTCATAAGTTCATATGTTCATATTAATATGCACGTAAACAGACATAAGCACCAATTTTTAATAATTAAATGTTACATAGGGAGAATTTATGTAATAAACATTTTCTCAACTCGACTAAGTCAGCAGGGATTTCTTCTAAAAATAAAATAATTTTTCGATTTTCTGTATATCAATACCGCATGTTGTTTTAAAATACCGGATCGATATCAATCTCAGTTAAAAACCTTTTCAGTATAAAATTTTTTTTATCTCATCTACTACATAATCCCACCTTATACACTAATACAATAGTAGAAAAATTCTCTTTACAAATAAGACAAATTAAATTTAGATGCTAAAATTATATTACAAATTTCTTTAAATATTACAATCGTCACCAAAAAGCTGGTATGCAAGTGTAGTGGCAAGTTTTTTCTTAAAATTTTTATTTAATACAGAATAAATGCATATATTTATAATTTGCGATTTTTATAGTTAGATATTAGTAAAATATTGCGCATCACTTGGGTTTGTATTTTCTTTCTTAACAATAGCATTTTGATGTTTGTGACGATCTTTTCTTTGTGTTGATTCATTATTTCGATAACTTAACTGTTCTTCAGATGTCATAAAGTTAATATTCTAGCATCATCCTTGCAGCCCTTTGTTCAGGCGTATAAATTCTTTTACATTTTGCATGTTAATACAATAAGCTATTAATTACAGTTCGCCCTATCCTGTCAAAACCGATAACCTCCCATAACTGATGGTCCACCATGCTCGTTCCATAATTTAAATCAGATAACCTGCCATTTCTGATAACTGATATACAAAAGAATATACAGTATCTATTAGTTGTTGTATACAGTTTACCCTCGTTATAACGTAGTGGTCGGGCTGAGAAATTCTGTCCGTTATAATGAATATCCGCTATAGCG